CGCAAATTAGGTAATTAATATGCATAGGTATTAACTCAAAAGTTATTAGGTCCATGCATTGTCCTAGAGCATGTAGGTATCAAGTTTGTACTTGAGACATCCCTGGCAAAGCTGTAAATTGAGTAATCATTACGCAAATTAGGTAATTAATATGCATAGGTATTAACCTAAAAGTTATTAGGTCTGTGCATTGTCCCAGAGCATTTAAGTATGAAGTTTCATTGTAATGTAATGATTAGTGGAAAAGCTGAAAGATGACTAATCATTATGCAAATTATGCAGAGCATTTAAGTATGAAGTTTCATTGTAATGTAATGATTAGTGGAAAAGCTGAAAGATGACTAATCATTATGCAAATTATGCATGGATTTTCACCAAAAAATAATCAAGTCCCATTGTCCTAGAGAATCTATGTACCAAGTTTCATCAAAATGCAATGAGTAGTTCTTTAGATTCAACATAGAATTGCGCTTTAATTTAAGTTTAATTAAAAAATAGTTGAATATCCTGTGACTTAACATAGAAATGTTTGCAAAGCTAAGGTTTAGTAAAGGGGTAGGAATGGTACAATTGTATTAATATTAATACAATTGAATATTAATATAAATTATGAAACATAGTGAGGGTTGTCACTTGCTAGGTGTAAAGTTAATTGATAGTCGTTAAAATGTTGATGCCAGAAACGTGCATGCACACTGCACAGTGCAAAGACTCGTATTGTGAGTCAAACCTCCAATCAGGCAATAGTAGATGTATTCAATACAATGTTTTGCCACATAGCTGGCAAGTTCTCTAAGTTCACTAGACACCAGTGTCTTTATTCAACATGGAAGCACATTCAGATGGAACATCTTGATTCACAAGTTTATGTGAAGTACTAGTTGTTTTGTTCAGTAATCGTGGTCCACTCAAAGCAATGGCTGCAGCACCTAGAGGTGCCGTTATGATGATAGACAGCACAGCTATTGTCAAAATCTACAACAGAAAAAAATCAATTAGACTGGAAGATTGCAGTGGTGAAAGATGGAAAAACCACTGACAGACACAAGACCAAAGGTTTGTGGTGGTGAAAAATGAAAAAACCACTAAAAGATTCATCGATCCTTTGAATAATGTTTTTTGTTGACATTATTGGTATTAGTGTTACCTGTTTTCCAAGCTCTATCACTTCCTCGGATGAACCTTTTTCCCTTGCAGTGTCCAATGCTATAGAACCAATAGCAGCCTGTGATAAAACGTTACAGATACATAGAAATGTAAACAATTGTCAGGCAGTGTAACAATGTATCAAATATCTCATAATGCCAATACAATAATTTCCCATATTACACCTATTCGACCTTCAAACATATTCTTTCATAAGTTTGAAGTGCCTACTTGGACCTGTACTTCCTAATCGCTATTCCACAGATGAAATATGTTTTGGTCTTGATAAACCAGGTTTTGTAATGTTTTATTTTGAATTACATTGTTATTTTATAGTTATATAACATTATGCAAAAATCATATCATTACTATTTGAGTAACCTGATGGATGGATCCAGTCAGACATCTTGAGTAGACTTTACAAATCAAAGTTATTGGTTATACTCCTTCTACCAAATTTGAGGAAATTCATATCAGACTGTCATAGTGTGTAAAAAGGTGTGTTGTATTGTACTCATAATGAGAGTTATTTTCAACACTCAAGCTTGATGATGATGATGCATGGTTGAATGGGTTTCCGTCATCGTGTCTGTGTCATGTTTTGAAAAGAGAGATCTGTTATGACAGCAGAATGAACTCTTTATTTTTATTCTATTTTGAGATATGCTACTTCACCAGCTTGGTAGACCGATTGATTACTTTCAAACTTAGACAGTAATTGTTGAATGTTGTGAAATATTATTATTAAAAATTTATCAAAATCAAGCATTTCTTCCATTCTAGGACCCAATCTTTGTCATGTATAGATACATTTTGTTCAAAATTGGTACATACATTAGACATAATGAGATGCACATCATTTTATTGGAACAAGCTCAACACAGTCAACTTTTTAAAGAATAAAGATCCGGAAAATTTGTATTTGTATGTATTGTATATAAGATTCTTAAAATAATATTACAGCAACATATCTGAGCAAAGTTTGACAAGAAAATACTGGGCAACATGATCTTCAATTATTACATGTACTGTATTAATCTCAATATTCTTTATAGAATAATATACCACGAATTGCATAAGAATTTCCAAATAATAGTGCATTAATTGAATAAATAAGCAAAATAAAATAGTAGCAAGAATTCAAAAAGACAGATCTTATTATTAACATGAGGCTCTCATTAGCAGCAGTATAAATATCTTTATTCTGTCCAATTATTTTGAATGATTTTATTCTGCTAAATTTTATCCCATATCTTGAAATTCAACCATCATCAAATATTGAACTTGGCCAGATCCAAAAAATAATATTACAAGTTTGATAGAAATTGGATAAAAACTGTTTTTACAACAATGAGGACAAACATTTTTCTCTTATACAGCTTGACGTTCATTTATGATAATATTGACAAGGTAAAAATGGTGGCCATTTTGTTTTAATGAACACGGTTCTAAAGCTATATCTCTGACATTCCTTGACTGATCATGTTAAAACATTTTCTATGCATTATACAACTTGTCACAATGTGCACAGCTATTCAAGATGGCTGAATGAATCAAACATTTCTACTAGTTTGAACCCAAATTTTGGTTAAACACACACACCTATTGTCCATCTTGTACATAAACAGAACAAGATCATAATGTTTATTCAGATCAAATTAAAAACAGAGAAATGCGAAATGCTGTTCTAGACATACATTGACTGATGACGATAAAACTTTACAAGTACATTATAAATCATACCAATATTATAAATCATTCAAAATGGCTGACTATGTCAAATAATATGTAGTCAGAAAATTAGATATTTGCACAGATAGAACCCTGAACACAAGTCCCTGTTATCTATAATTCTAGCAATGTAATAGCAGAGAATACACATACCTGTACAGTGGCCTTCGGCAACCAAGCAAGAGGAATGAAACATTTTTCTTTGAGATTGAGACCAGCACGAAACACAGACAGGAATGATACAAGCATTCTCACAGACAATGATATGGCCAACATACCTATTCCAAGCCCTACAGAAAATACAATATATATTAACAATAGGTCTCATATTCTGAAATTCCCAAAAATGATTGAGCTAATTCAACTACACTAGATTGACAAAGGCTGATTATTGTTTTTTTAAATAGTGATTTACACTTGTGGGTTCCTTACTACAAGATACTTTTTGCACATTTGTGAATTTCTATTTATGTCCATTAAAGCCTCAATACATTAATCATGAAATAGATTGTAAGAGTATTGCTGTTAGTACTGGATATTTTAATTTAGTTGTCGGGCATAAATGAAAGAACTGCAGTTAGTTCAAAAATATGCATCACAAACAACTGACATCTTTACAAATAAAAAAAAATACTCTTTCATGAATAAATAATTTAATTTAATGCAATAAGTTTCAAATCAAAATGCTATTTCATAGTCAAAAAACTTATTTTTGTTATTACAAAATACCAGTATGTTTTGAAATGCAAGTAAAATTTAAATTATTTTCACCATAAGCAAACATTTTTGGTCCCACACAAACAGTTGATTGTGTGAAATAATTCCTGTCATGTTTGTTACATGTAAGTCGACCAGTTATTAACCAAGATTGCTGGATGGTGTTAGCCGAAGATATATCGGTATTAGAAATTCCAAATAGCATAAGATGACGAATCCAACACAACGTTGCAGTGCCATCTTTTGATTTCAGTGTAAACAGTATGATTTTTCCCAAGAAACAGGGAATTAGGATTTGCAAGAGATCATTGAAAATGTTTTTACCATTTTTCACAGTGATAGCTGTCCATTGTCAAACAGAGTTTACCTATTCCGCCAGTCACAATTTTACATTGTATTCTTGAATAGGCACCAACGGCTCTGAAAAAGCTTGACTACAATTTAGGCGCCAGGAAAGATTGAAATGTTCTAAAAATTACTCATTTCTGAAACCTCAGTCAACACTAGATATATTCTGTGACTGTAAATTGACAGTGTTTTCTGCAACCATAAGATCTCCCACCAACCAAAACACATTGCCACCCTGGTTTAACTGTATACCTATTGTTGATGCATCCAGATTTCCAATCAGTATTTCAGCTCCAATAAGGGAAAATAAATAAGGTTGGAAGAAAGTCCATAATAAACTCATTACTTCTTGCACTGGTACCTGAAACATAAGAATACATG